TCAGAGGTCAGCAGAGTCAGTGGAGGGATTGTGAGCACTATTGAAACCTGTTTTGTTTCTGCACCCACGTTTTTGTATGTGAATGCTGAATCCTGTCTGGCCTTTCCTGCTGGGTGTGGCTGGTCAGTGGTGTCCACCCTGTGGCTGAATTCACACTAGCTGCTCCAGGTTGCCTGTTCCTCTGTGTGCCCTGAGTCAGCCTGTTGTCTTCCTTGCTTATGGCCTGTGTCTGTAAGTGCCCGCCCCTTCCAGGGTTCCCTCTGTTCGGACACCCTGACCGTGGCAGTTGTCCAAGCTGATGGGCCATCCTTGTTCGCATTGGCAGCTGGTGAGAGCAAGTTGATCACCTGCTGATCTAGGCAGTGGGGTGGGAGCCGGGAATGACATGATGTGCTGGACTTAGTGTCAACACTGTCAGACCCAGCCTCCTCTGAAAGCCAGATGTGTGGCCTGGCTTCTCACCACAGAGGGCAGGCTCCTCATGCCCTTTCCAGCCTGAGCTTTCCTAGCCTATCCTTTCCTGCCTCTTGTGGCCATCTTCCACCAGGTTACTGTGGTATGGTGAGCCCAGCACCTCTGCAGTGTAGTTTTTCTGTTTTTCTCTGTCTTAAACAACTAACCCCTTCTCCAAATGGCTGTTGATTAAATACTCTCAAGTATGGTGGGTGCTACACTGGATTTCTTCTCCATCTCTAGCCTTCCAACCACACTGTGTTGTAGTGAATAATAACCATGGGCTTTGGGGGCTAATGCTGCTACCCGTTGCTGACCTTCTCCCTTGTATTAGTGAAGACAGGTCCTCCTTCCTGGGAGCTGGGGTTCGCCTTTCTAACTGCTTTGTTCTTTTTTTTTTTTTTTTTTTTTTTTTTTTTGTCTTTAATATTTGAGATTTTATTGGTTATGTTGAGGATCAGTACACATGATTCGCTTTGTATACAATTCTTAACACACATGCCAAAAAAAGCCACGTATTGTTTTTCAGTGATTCCAGTGATTTTTCCAGCTTCAAATTTAGAGGCAAATTTTCTGTAAGAGGATTAAATACCAGTATCTTCAAATGCTGACAAAGTGTTACTTAAGTCCCACCAATTCACAATATTGTATCACATATAGTATGTATCAAATTTTTGATCTTTCACAGCACATTAACAAAATGAGACAAACCGGACTACCACTACCAAAGATGTTACAGAGTGCACACAATTCTGACAGGGCAACAATTAGGAAGTAGTTTTCTTTAGGAAACAATTTTTACTAAAAACATGGGAATAGAAGTCATTTAAAGTATCTAAGACATATTGAATGCATGAGTGTAATTCCACATTGCCATCTAGTATGCTTTGTATTGCAGGATATAAAACTAACCCCCACCTATGGGATGTTATGCTGACACATAAGACAGTCAAAGCCTACCATAATTCAGTGTCTCACTATTTCTGGTTGTACCAAAAAATAAACAATCAGAGAATGATTTCACCTTTAAAAAAATCATTTACACTTAAAAAATGCAATGAGGTGGGATTCGCTCCTTTTTAAAAATGTTTCTAGAGCTACTAAAAAACTTGCAAAATAGTTGATAAAAATATTCCTCTGGATTGTACAAGAAGGGAGACAGGGAGCACTGATGAGACTTGGTGTGTGATTATTCAGACTTGGCTTCTTTCTCTTCTGCTTCATCAGAAGCTGCACTCTCCTCGTTTTTAGTTTCTCCATTTTCCACAGGTAAATCTTCTTTGGTTTCCTTTTTTTTTGGTGGAACCTGGGATTGAACTCAGGCCCTTGTGCTTGCCAGGCAAGCACTTATTCTACTGAGCTATCTCCCCGGCCCCATTCCTTGGTTTCTTGATTAGCCACTTCAGCCTGTTTTCCCTTGGCTGCCCTTTTCCCTTTTGCTTGCATTTTTTTTTTTACCGCAAGACTTAACCTTTTCCGCTGCCTTTTTTGGCTTCGTTTCCACTTTAGCAGGAACAGGTTTAGATTTCCTGTTGGGCTGACCTTCCTTTTGGGCATGGGGCGGGGGGCATGCAGAAGCTGCGGGCCAAGGCGCACGGAACCCTTGTGGAGCCACCTTCTCCCGCTGCCAGAGCTGCTGGGACCCACCGCTGCCTTGTTCTTTTCTCTGCTTTGTGCCCAGTTTCTCCAGCTTCTCTGTAGCTTCTGGTCTTCCTGTTGTCTCCCTCCTGATTCCTGGAGATCAGTTTCTTTTTTTCTTCACAAGTTGTTGTATCCAGGTATCTCAATTCCAGATCTGAGGGAGGGTGTATATTGCTGCCAGTATTTCTGTTTCAGAGTCTTTGCACTTTAAGATTGTACATCTTTAGAGCAGGCACTTGTGAGTAGCAGGGGAAGACAAACAACGTACGTCAGGGATGGACAGTGCCAGTCTTCTGTTGGGCCCATCAAGCACATCCCTGCATTCAGTTCTTCCACTAAGCTTGCAAAATGGAAAAGATTCTTTCTCCATCTTTTCAAGTGAAAAAATTATCCCAGAGGGGAGCAAGATAGCTCAGTGGACTAAGCACCTGCTTAGGCAAGCCCAGGGACCGGGGTTTGATTCTCGGCACCACATGCTGCACTGGCCCATCCCCAGGCGTGCTGAGTTGGTCCAGGCGTGGTGGTGCACACCTGTAATCCTAGCGCTGGGGAAGCTGAAAACAGGAGGATCACTATGAGTTTGAGCTGTGTAGAGAGAGACCCTGTACCAGAGACAGAAAAGAAAGAAAGAATAACTGTCCCAGGATGGTTAATCAGTCATACGCCTCATGAGAAACAGAGGCAGGACTCACATCTGGATCTTGCTGGCTCTGATGCCTGTTATAGTTCCCACAAATATCCCACTGGAAAATGATAAACAGTATGTAGGCAATGTCTAATTTTTGTATATCTGAATAACATGTGCCTTACATATGGTTGGACCTGGGATCTCTTCTTTCACCTGGCATCTACAGCGTGGAATTTGTTCATTAACTACGTGGTGGAGCATCAGTTCTTCGCTACCATCCGTCCACGGAACTTTCTCTTTAAGTGCTCTGCGCCTCTGCCGAGGGCTCCATTGCTTCCTGCCTGCCGGTTGTGCTGTGCGCTCTCTGGCCTCCGATTGTGCCCCACGCTTGCCCTGTGCCTTGGTCTGCCTTCCTGCTGCTGGGACGCAGTGCCCACGCCTCACAACTTAACGAGGAGAGGCTCCATTCGGCTCATGTTTGAAGTAGATTCATGTGGTGTTTGTCAGGCTCCCAGGCAGAATCTTTGCGGTGGGAGGGCTTCCAGAAGCAAAGCTGGGAGGCGAGCGTGGGAACAGCGTCAGAGCGAAAGATGAAAGACGTGGAGAGCAGACGCATGCACTGTTCCACCACAGCCAGTAAAATTAACCCTCCACCCCACAGACCACACTGTCACCTCCCCGTGACCTTGCCAAAGTCACAGCCTTTCCAGGCTCTTGACCTGTCAGGGCTCAGTGAGGAGATGCGACCTTTGCGATGTGCCGCTTACTCTCTAACCTCAGCTCTCAGCTGCTCCCCTGGCGGCGCAGTGGCTCCCCGCAGGCCTTGGGGATCTTGCAGGCTGGTGCGGGCCTGCCTTGTCCTTGCGGTACTCTTTCTTCCTTGCAGCCTGGAGAGCATTTAGCAAAACTCGTCTCAGATATGTCTTCTCTTCTGGGGTAAACTGAATCACTTTTAATTTATTCCCATGTGCTGGGCTGTACTTTTGTAATGATACTTCAACTCTTTTTTTTTAAAAAAATAATTTACATGATTGTGGCACTGGGGTTTGAAACACATTTTGGAGCCAGAGATTTTTTCCATCACCATATTATTATTGTTTGGATGACTTTAAGAATCATCCAACTGGGGCTGACGAGATAGCTTAGTGGTCTAAAGCGCCTACTTAGGCAACCCACAGGGATGCACCACGTGCCCTGCCAGCCCTGCCTCCAGGGCAGGCTGAGCCAGCCACAAAGAAAAAAAAGAATCACTCAACTAATGTGCAGGTCAAAGCATATGTTTATGGTTGGTTGGCAAACAACTAATTGGGGCCGACCCATTAGCTCAGGTGTTTAAGTGCCTGCCGAAACAAAGCAGTCAGGCTCAGGATGGTGTGGTTTGATCCCCTCATCCTCAAGCCAAGCCAGACCTGCCCTGAAGGCATCCTCAGCAGCTCCCCCCCCCCCAAAAAAAAAAAACAAACAAACACTCAGAACTGATCTACACAAGGAATAATGTGATCGAGGAAGCAGAAATACCTAGTGTGTTTGGATTATTCCTTTTGGACCTCCTTTAAAGGAAAGATCAGAATCAAATCCTGGCTCACAGTGTTACCAGGTGATAGATTCTTCCCAGAGAAGAATTCAGAAAGTTCTGCCTGTGAAGACATTCTAAGGACTGAGGAAGTATGCACATAAATTCTTGGATTTTTTTCCACCTTTTAATTCAACTGTGGTTTTATTTCAGTCTACTAATGATATCACTACCAATTAAGATAGCAGGTTCCCCACAGGGCGTAATTGTTCTTTGGTACACCATTTTTTGCATGGGATTTTTGTTCAGTGGGGGGTATTTTGATGGATTTAATGTGTTGCATGGAAAGAATAAAGACACCACAGGGGGGCTGTGAGGCTGAGAAATGCGGAATCATTCTGTAACAAGTATCTCTAAATTGTTTTGTTTGTTTTGAGATGTGGCCTGGCCTCGCTGAGTTCCCCAGGCTGGCCTCAACTCCTGGGCCCAAGCAACCCTTTCTCCGCTCAGTTTTCTGACTAGCGATGCCTATAGGTGTGCACCGTGGCTCCTGGCTGGCTCTTGATATTCTTCAAGATACAATGTCTGTTCTCCAGATATAGCATGCTATATATGAATGTGCCCCAGAAGTTTGGTTTCTGTTGATTGCCAACTTAATTGATTTGATGGCAGGAAATAGCCCGACTTGTACTCACAACATGTACCTGTTCTACAACCTGAGTACCCTAAACAAATCCTTTCTCTGCCCTTCCTTCTTTCATCTAGGCAGATAGAGTGTTGTGAGACAGCAGATGAATTCTATAGCACTATGGGGCGCCTTACTCAGGAGATGCTGGAGAATGACCTTCTGCAAAGCCATGAACTCATGCAGGTGAGTGGGCAGCATGTCCAGCCTGGATGCGGGAGCTGTGGGCACAGTGGGCATAACTGGCTCTGGGCAGTGGCCATGGGAGATGCATTTGGCCAGATTGCAAGCCAGAGTCACTGTGTAGTTTGGCAAGAAGAGAGAAGTCAGACATGGTGGTACACCTGTAATCGCAGCACTCAGGAAGCAGGTTTGGGGCAGCCTCGGTTACGTAGTGAAACCTTGTCTCAAAAAAGACAGACAGACAGAGAGAGAGAGAAAGAGAGACAGAGAGAGAGACAGAGAGAGACATAGAGACAGAGAGAGAGAGAGAGATGGGGTTGGGGAAAAGGAGAGAGGGAGGGAGGGGAAGAGAGGGGGAGGGAGGGAGGAGGAAAGAGGTGGAGAGGGAGAGGGAGGAAAGATGGCTGTTGTTGGGGCATGCTGGCTTTTTTCTCCTCTCCTTCTTCTCCTCCCCTCCCCTCCCTTTCCCTCTTCTTCTCTCCTTTTCCTTCCTTTCTCACTTTGTAGTTCATCTGGCCCTGAACTCACTGTGTAGTCTAGGCTGGCCTTGAACTCTTAGAAATCCTCCTGCCTCAGCCTCCCCATTACTCAGATTACAGGTGTGTGCCATCATGCCAGGGTAGGCGCTCTTTCAAATTATGTTGCTAAAAATCATGAAGCTCAAGATAAATAAACAGCAGGCAAAAAAAAAAAAAAAAAAAAAAAGTCATCTGATGCTTATTGTGATTCTTTACCTTCTTAAAGAGAGGGTTATGAGGGCCAGCCAAATAGCTCAGTGGATTAAAGCACCTGCAAGCAGGCACAGGAGCCAGGGATTCGATCCCTAGGCCTGCCATGCTGGCCCCACCTCTGGGGCACACTGAGACTGCAATTGAGGTCGTGGGCATGGTGGCGTGCACCTGTAATCCCAGCTCTTAGGAGGCTGTAAATAGGTGGATCACTATGAGTGTGATCTAGTGTGATCTAGGGTAAGATCAGGGTAAGACACTGAACACCCTGTAGACCCTTCCCTAAAATACAAAAAAAAAAAAAAAAAAAAAAAAAAAAAAGGCTTATGGGGTAGGACAATTATTCTTGAGAAGAAATTATCGAGGATAAAAGAGATTATTTTAATCAGCTTTTTGGTTTGTTTTCAACTCAAGTTACTAAAAGTCATAAGCTTTGTGTGGAAGACTTGAAGGATTTCATTTTGTGGGATGTAACTATATCTGAAGATCATGTTCAACAAGTCACTGAAATTGATAGTGGTCATCAAAAAGGATAGCTGATGGATACTCTCTCTTCCTTTATATTCTTGTGTTTGCTTGAGACTGGGTCTCTCTATGTAGCCCAGGCTGGCCTTGAACTCGCAGCAGTCCTCCTGCCTCAGCCTCCCAAATGCTGGGATTATAGGCATGTGCACCATGCACAGCCTTGCTTGAGATTCTGAAACCATTTTGCCCTTGTTCTCCTCCGGCACTTCTGACTGCTTCTATTCTACCTCTTCTTGCCCTTGACCATTTGTGCAACCTTCTGAGGTTATCCTTGGATCTTCCTTCTATTTTTGTGATTTTTCTCTCCTTTTTCTTGGTTTCAACCTTCACCTTATGCTGGGTTCCATGGCTGACGTCATTTTTGAGGGCTGCGGTTCAGTCAAAACAAACTGATTCAGGGCTGGAGAAGGGAGGATCTGGATTCCTTCACTCGCTCCTGGTACTCTTGACTCCATCTCAGTCTGTTGCGCTTAGCAGACGGCTACCCGACTCATCAGTAACTTTCCTGAGCTTTCATGTTATTTCTGTGCTCCCATGTTTTGTCACCTCTTCATGCCTTCTTGTCTGTCTCAGAGGAGGAGGTTTTCTGTCTGACTGCATTGGTGCGCCCATTCTAGCTCCTCTCATAGCTCCCGGGCCATGGCTGCCCTGCATCCTCTCCTGGAGGAAAAGAGCCTTACACTGAGCAGCATTCCGGGCCCTACCCCTTTGCCTGGCATTTCCCGTGTATCCTGCAGAACTGCCAGAATTAGGTGCCCAAAGTAGGAGGACTCAGAGAACTAGGCTTCTGCCTCCTGGATGAAAGTCCCTCGGCCCTCCATCCCTCCAGAACGGCATGGGTTTCTCAGCTACCCACCCATTGCTTTTTATTGTTTAGTGTTGCTCTACATCGTCAGCCGTAGCTCCTGCTCCTCCTGCCATAGCTTGTCCTAGTCTTGTCAAGCTAACCTGCCTTCCACGCTTGAAGAAAAGCCAGGAAACGCCATCTCCGTTATTCCTTCGTGCTCCCAGCGAGCTTGTGCCTTCACGTGCCTGCCTTTGGGACGTTTCAGTTCAGATACTGGCTCACTTCATTCCACTTCTCTCATGATCTTAACCCAAATCCTCTCCCGTTCCATTATTGTATTTGTCACATCTTGAGCACTTTCATCGTAGTCGACCTCAGTTTCAGACGCATCTGATGCTCTCCGTGATACTGCGACTTCCTGGAGGGCAGAGGCTGCCCTTATGAGAGCAGCTCGTTCAGTTTAATCTAACAAGCGAACATTCGTTGACAGTCTCTGGTTGCTTTTTTGCCTGTTCTTGTCCAGGCTGGCTTATGCAAAGCTTGCAGGTGACTGCCTGCCTTCCTCGCCCCTTCGCTAATGCAGTCCGCTCCCTGATGGGACGGCAGTCGTCTGCACTGCTGCTTTCTTTGGTCACGGCGTTGTGCCACACACTGAGGCCTTCTGTTAGTACTAGAGATGAAATGGCTCCGCTCTGCTTTCTAGGATCTGTATTAACTTCTCAAAGTATTTATTGAGTACCTCCAAATGTCAGGCACTGAGCCAGATTCTGGGGACAAACAGGGAAGATATGGTCCTATCACCAGGAGCTCAGAGTTCCCTCTAACACAGTGAGATGGGCGCTGAACGCGAAGTGCAGGGGGCAGAGGAGGAGAGGGCTGAAGGCCTGAGAGCCGGGGCGGGGGGCGGGGGGCGGGGGGAGAGTCAGGAACCGCTCCCTTGGGGGAATCAAGGTCTGTTTTTATCTTTAAGAAGGAATAGGAGTTGCCCAGGCTCCCTGTGCCTGCATTCAAGAGCATGGGGACATTTTCCAGAGGAGCTGGTGCAGAGCAAAAAGGGACATAACTTGTAGTTAAAGGAGTGGCCTGGGCAATGGTAGAGCGGTGGGATGCTGTAAAGAGGTGAGATGCAGTAAAGCAATGGGGTGTTTTAAAGCAGTGGGATGCTGTATAGCGCTGAGATGCTGTAAAGCCGTGAGATGCTGTAAAGCATATGAGTGACATCACAGGAGTTTGGCACTAAGGGCCTGGGTTAGGGAAGATTGCAACCTATTGTAGGCCATTTGGTTTTGATCTTTAGGGCCAGGGTTATGAACTGGGTTGGCCGGAGTTCGGGGGCTTCTGTGGACCCTCAGAAAGGAAAAAAGAGGAGCCATGGCTCTGGAATATTTTTAAGACAAAAGCATTTTGAATTGTGCGTGGTGTCTTGCCTAATTTGCAACAGGGTCTCACTATGTAGCCCAAGTTGGCCTCATACTTGCAATCCTGCCTCCCTCTCCCAGGGCTGGGGTTATGGACGTGTGCCACCAGACTCAGCTCGAGTGGGGTTTTATACCTGCTATTTACATGGGCAGCTCTGTGAAGGACGGGCCTACAGCAGGAAGGCCTGTGAGGGGGCAGGGCAGGGTAAAGAGGAGACTGGAGCAGAGACTGTTAGAAAGTGAAATTGACTGGGTGTGGCCATGCAGGTTGAATATGCTGCAAACCTCTGGCCTGGGAGGAAGAGCATGTTTATTGTGGGGGAAGGTGAGTTCGTTTTCAGGATGCACTGGGAGTGTTCCTTGACTTCCCTGTGCCTTAATCCTAAAGTAACCCCAGCTGCTTCATAACTGGAATTTAGCCTGAGGCTCACAGCTCTGTAGGCCCCAGTGCCCCCCATTGGTGTCCTGGTGAGAGCCCCACGTGTCCCCTGGTCCCCCCCACAGCATTTGTTATCTCCTCCTTCACCAACAATGCGTCCACTTTACTAGAGATTTTCAACAGTCGGCTTAATGCTAACTGCAGATGATTTGATGATGTTGTTTTATAATTTTGAAGGATGTTTATTTTTCCTCTCTGAGAAGATGCAGTTTCATGAAGAGAAGGCTTTCTAATTGGGCTCTCCGTACCACACAACAGAGTGGTAGGAACAGAATCGCCTGTCCAGTACATACGCACAGTCATGAAACGTTTGATCTCGAGGCAGTAGTTTTCCAGCTTGACTGTATATAATAAATACTTATGGAGTATATAAAAATGTAGCTGTTTGGCCCCTGGGTATGTTTGATGCAGGTGACTTTTGGATCAGTTAGAGAAACAAGCTTTAAAAAGGTTTAAATGTCAGTCATCTAGTTCTGTCACTTTACAAAAGGAGACTAAGATGTGGAGAGGGAGCACCCTGCCGGTTTCTTAGCGCTCTAAGCTGCGGGCCTGGGACTGAGACCTGTGTCCTGGCTTCCAGGTCTGATTAATGCTTTTCCCCACCGCACACCGTGATTTCTCTACCTTCCTCAACTGATGTCTTATTAAAAGAAAGAAATCCTCTTTAGAAGCATAAGGCGACATCTCAATTCATTTAGAATTTACACAGTGCGCAAAGGAATTAACAAGATGTTGGATACCGTCTTTGTTCTCCAGGAGTTTCTAGTTAAATATCAAGAGGAAGAACAACTTCTTTACCCTGCTTTAAGTGAATCCTAGAGAGAGAATCATGAACTGTAACACGATTCGATTCCATTGTAGTAGCGTTTCTTTCTTTCTTTCTTTTCTTTTTTTTTTTTGTTTTTGTTTTTTTTGTTTTTTTGTTTTTGCAGAACAAGGGATTGAACTCAGACCCTTGCGCTTGCCAGGGAAGTGCTTATTCTACTGAGCCATCTCCCCAGCCCCTGTAGTAGCATTTCTAAGACAGGTCAAGCAAAACATCTAGATGAAGCTGAACTAAGCCTAAGTTTTTTACAAGTTATATTTTCATGGTTCTTGTAAAACATGTCAGTAATGGAAAAAAGAAATATAGTTCCTTTTCAACAGTGCCTAAATATAAACGTCTATTTAAATGTATGTTGGTATTTCAGATAGTAAATAGACTTTGACATCCAGAATGTTAGAAATGGTGAGTGCCATTCCAAGCCACTCTTTTCTGAATTCATTCTTTGACAACAACAACAAAAAACAGTTCAGCAACTGTGACCTGGGTGTGGTAGGCCATAAATCTGTCAACAAACTTGAAATGACTCCAGATGAAAAATGTGGGTGGAATATAAAGTCTGTATTTTTGAGCTGTAGAGATGAAAACATTCTCCTCTTGTGGTTTTCTGATTCGGTCTTCTAAGTGACAGGCAGAAGTTAATGTACTGGGTTCCACTCTATGGATCACAGAACTCTTCTAATTGGCTGATTTTTACTTTTTGGTTTTTTTGTTTTTTGTTTTTTTTTTTCTTGGTGGAACCGGGGATTGAACTCAGATCCTTGCGCTTGCCAGGGAAGCGCTTATTCTACTGAGCCATCTCCCCGGCCCCGATTTTTACTTTTAAAAATCCCATAGTGTTAAGTTGACAAATCAGCTTATAAAGTAGTGTATCTGGACTTGGGCAGGACCCTTGACAATGTTTGGTAAAGTCCTTGAGGGCATTATGGAGAGAAATTTGTGGTTTTTTTTTTTTTTTTGGTGGAACCGGGGATTGAAGTCAGGCCCTTGCACTTGCCAGGGAAGTGCTTATTCCACTGAGCCATCTCTCTGGCCCCTGTGTTTCTATTATTAGGAGGGTTGTGTGTGCTTTCACAACACAGGTCATTGTTATCTAGAAGCAGCCATCACGTCACGTGCCACGGGGCAGGAGCTGCCTAGGACCTAACTTCACTTTTTCTCTCAGTGATGGGTTGGAAATTTCAGGGATGTGGACGCCCATTGAGTACAAGGACAATGCTTGATTAATTAGTTGTCAAAAATGGAACCCATCTGCCGAGCAGGATAGCATGTGCCCGGAGCATTTAGTGAGCGCCTTTGAGGCCATGTGTTAGGGATGCGCTAGCAAAGGCTCTTGGCGTGGGAGAGAGGTTGAGTGTAATTATGTTTAAATTCCTTTAGAACCCCAGGATTCTGTTACTGTACCACTTTGGCTCTAAGAGCTTAGTAGAATTGCTTTCTTGGAATCTGTTGTAAATTGCCAGCTTGTAAGTTGGAAGCCTCGAGGTTCTAGATACCTGGAGTGCCTCCCTGGTGAGTGAGGGCTGCTTCAGTCACGTAGGACCAATGTGCCTTCAGGTGTGGGAGGTCATGAGTAAGTCAGTGAGCATAATCAAAGAAGCACTATACACAAGGTTTTTTTATTTTATTGAGAAAAAAATTGCAATATGACAGCTTCAAAACAGGTTGGTAGGAGAGTTACAACAATGCATTGCATATTGTGGCCTTTGTAGTAGTCATTCATAGCATAAGATGCAGGCATGATATCCTGTCCAAACACTATCCGTACAGATCTTTCTTCTTATTAAGAGAAAGTAGCTATGTATCTATCCTAACTATTTTGTATATACAAATACAAAATTGTCCTTCATTTTTGTCACCTTTTTTTTTTTTGTTCAATTTTGTCAGAGATAGGATTTCCATTGCCATCCAAATATTGTAGCTGCATGAATTCAGCAAAATATTCCGATATAGCCCAGTTTCAGAGCTGCTGATTGTTTCTGTGAAGGACCAGCCATAAACAAATAGAGGAAGGAAGACCTGAAGTGGAAATGGAAGCTAGCTAGTGTGCGTGTGGTCCCTCTCCCTGTCTCCTTCTCTCTCTCCCCCTTCCCTCTTTCCCTCTCCCTCTTTCTTTCATTATTATTATTATTATTATTATTATTATTATTATTATTATTTTGGCGGAACTAGGAATTAAACTCAGACCCTTGTGTTTGCCAGGCAAGCACTTATTCTACTGAGCTATCTCCCCGCCCACCTCCCTTTCTCTCTTTCCCTCTCCCTCTTTTTCTCTTCCCCGCCCTCTCCCCCTCTTTCCTTCTCTTTCCCTCTCTCCTTCTCTCCCTCTCCCTCCCCCTTTCTCCTTCTCCCCCTCTCTCTCCTTCCCTCCTCTTCCTCTCCCTCCCCTCTTTACCTCTTCTGCTCTCTTCCTCTTCCCTTCTTTCCCTCTCCTCTTTCTCCCTCTCCATATCTTTCTCTCTCCCTCTCCCCACTCTCCCTCTCCATCTCTTCCCTTGTGCCCCTCTCCCCCTCTCCTTCTTTTCTGTTCCCTCCTCATTCTTGCTCTGTCTCATCAGCACTCATGGGGGCTCATATTTGGTGTATGATGGTCAGTCCATTCGAGGCTGTGCCCAAGATGCAAGAGAGGTAATGAGCTTTGTTTCTAGTTAGGATTTTACATCTCTTCCATCCCCTCAAAAGACATGGTCAGAGGAAGGAGGGAAGCAATACTACTCAGTGACCATGAGGCAGCTGTTGGATCCCTTTGCAGAATCAGCATGAGAGTTCATTTTAGCCTTATTAATCAACTTATATGAAGTATTTTAGGCATACAGAATTTATTAAGAATAGCATAACAAAACCAACATAACCATGCAGCTCTTAAAGAAACAAAATATCAACAACATGGGGGAACACACACCCTTCGTGCTGATCTTACCAGTTTCTCTCAGAAGTAGCTATAACCCCTGAGTTCTAGTGCTTTCATTTTTCAGATTAAGCAAAGGAAGCTGAAAGATTGGACATCAATGTCATTTCACACTTTAGGCTAACGAGAGCCACAAGAAGTCTCTGTATCTTTCTGGGAATTGAAGGTGCACTTTATTGTCAGTAGATTTGTGCTGGGAGGTTTCTTCTGCGGTTCCTGTAGGCTGCAACTTTGCTTCAAGAAGCATGAAGAATTGAAAGGAAGGAAGCTTATTTTATTTTATTTTTATGTATTTGGCACAAAGTCTCACTATGCAGCTTGGACTCGTAGTGATCCTTCTGCTTCTGCCTCCCCAGCACTGGGATTACAGGCGTGAGCCACCATGCCTGGTCTTGGTGGCCAGCTCAGTGTGCCTGGGGCTGGGGCCAGCATGGCATGTGGTGCTGGGGATTGAACCCCGGTTGTTGCACTTGCCTTAAGCAGGCGCTTAGTCTACTGAGCTATCTTGCCAGCCGTGAAAGGAAGGAATTTTAGCCAATATCTGTTTGGAATTTTCTGGTAATATGTAAAGTAAATAGGTGGATGCCATGAAATTTGAGGACTGCCAGATAAATGTTCAGGCTGTTAGATCAAAGTTGGGTTGCATTGTCACAGTGGTGTGTTGTCCTACGAAGTGACTGAGGGCCCCAAAAGCCCTCCTGTTCCTATCCGTGCACACACATTAGATGTCTTAAGCCTTCAGAGAAACAGTCCTGCTGAGAAAAAATACCATTTAAAGATATTTTCTTAGAAAAGTGGTAGGATAATTGATTAGCTTCACAGACAAAATGAAAGTGCAGTTAATATACATTTCTAGTCAATAAGAAACTGAAGAATTAAATTTGTTTGGAGGTGTTGAATTTTTTTTTTTTTTTTTTTTTTTAAAGGAAGAAAAGGTTTAGTTAGCTCACAGTTTGTGAAGTTTCAGCCCGCACTGTGCTGGTTCTAAGGTAGAGTGACACATGGCAGAGGGCAATGGTTCCTGGCAGCAGAAAACAGCAAAAGCGAGCTGTTGAATTTTTATAAACACAGGAGAGCAAACAAGATGATTCTCTTCTTGCTGCTGACGTGACCCATAGTTCAAAACAGTGGTATGAAGTGCAGATGCTTGTCCTGTTTCTAATTATAAGCCTTTTGACAGCCTGCGCTTTACACCTTGTCACTTCTCTTAAAAATAATAATGAACAATTTTCACTCAGAACTCATTTACAGACATTTGGAAAGGTGGTATCTTTGGAGAAAACTTGCAGCTTGTCACGAGATAGTGTTATTCCGAAAGCTGATATTAGTGTCCGTAAAAATAATTGAGACACTGAAAAGCAAGGTGCATATATGAAGGACACTTGTGGACTGTCTGCTGTGGAGGAGACGGGCACTGTGCATTTCTGGTGACAGTACTCTACCACGTGACTGGGGGAGCCAGACTATTCCATTTGCCTAGTCATGTTCACCAGTTAGAATGCACAGCCAACTGGACATTGATCTGAGGACTCACTGTTGTTTATCAGTACAGCCTTGATGTCCTTTATCTGAAGATCTTGGACCAGAAGTGATTGAGAGCTTGGACCTGAGGATAAATTACCTGTGTGTAATAAGATGGGACCCAGATCTAAAAATGAAATTCATGTGTATTTCATGTACACCATATACACAGATAGCCTGATGCTACCTTTATAGGATATTTCTAATACACTTGGTTTGTTATGATCTGTTCCATGAGGTCAGGTGTGCAATTTTCTATTTTTGGCATCATGTTAGGGTTCAAGTATTTGGGACTTATTTTTTTTTGCTCCTTGAATGCCTTCAGGGCACTTTTGCATGGCTGGAGTGTTGTGGGGATCGAACTACAGCATCCTGAGGCTGCCAGCATTGTGGAAGCAGCCACTTAAAGAATGGAGCTAGGGCCAGGACCCGTGGGTTCAAATATTTGGGATTTTGAAGCCTTTTTTTTAAGGATGCTCAATCTATAATGTTCTTTTTGTCTTTCAAGTGTATTATTTGGGTGGAATCTCACTTGCTCTGTATCTGCCTCTTCACCCTCAACCTTATGAAACTTTATCTTTCTGGGGTAGGTAAGAGTAGCTCATGGACTGCTGTCCAGACTTGACACTTTCCTTTCACTCTGCAGACTGTGTACTCCATGGCTCCGTTCCCTTTTCCACAGTTGGCAGAGTTGAGGGAAAAGTACACCTACAACATCACCCCATTCCCAGCCACTGGGAAAGCCACCTCAGTTTCTGGGTAAGATTTTCCTTTTCCTTGTTGTTCTCATGATGGAAGACTTTATACCTTGATTATTCTTGGAAATTAGTACTTATTAAGTCCTAGAACTATTTGCAAAGTAATTTGGTACTTAAGAGCTGAGTAACTTTTCCAAGTGTTTTGATTTAAACTCAAGAGAGATTTAAAAAAAAAAATGAAACAAAATCCTAGAACAAAAACCAGAATGCTTTCCAAAGAAGTTTGAAACATAGATTGAAGGAGTATTTAGCAAGCCCACAAAATATCTAAAATTCCCAGTAATTAAAATTATGTGGAACTGGTGTAGAAATGGAGAGGTGAGCTGATTTAAAAATACTGTAAAGACTATAAGTTCACAAGTTTATACAATTTATGAAAAATTAGTAGATTAAATCAGTGGTGAAAAAATATGCAGTTTAGGAAATAGCATTCAGCCAGTGAGAATTAACCTAGAAAGAATCATTCTTGTTGTATATTCATATGTGGGTGAAAGTATTAAAATATGAAACAGTGAGTAGAAGAAAATGTGGAAAAGCTCTTCTAGTTCTTTGAAATTGAGTAGTCTTAGTAAATTACTCAAAATCAAAATAAAGGCCAAATACTAAATTTAAGTACTTAAAAAATAATTTTCTTTATGGCTAAAGCCAAAACAGAGCAAAACAAAGCCTCTACAAATGGACTAAAAAATATTTGTGGAAAAGTACTTTTAACTGCTACACAAAATAGAAACCAGTGTCTTTAATATATAAAATTCTAGACAACAATAAGAAAATAGTTACACACTGGAAAAGTGATAAAAGAGGCTTGGGAGAGAGCTCAGTGGTCTAAGCGCCTGCCTGACACATTCCAAGTTATGGGTTCGATCCCAGGTACTGCATGCCATGCTGGCCCTGGAACCCCAGGTGTACTGTGCGGGCCATGGAAACCAGGCGTGGTGGCACATGCCTGTAATCCCAGTCCTGGGGAGGCTGAGACAGGAGGATCACTACAAGTCTGAGCTGTATAGGAAGACCCTGCACCAAATACATACATACATACATACATACATACTTACTTACTTACTTTTAAAAAACAATTAGAAAAAAAAAAAAGGGAATGGACAGTTTATAAAACAGCAAACATCATCAGTACTGAAAAGCAGTCTAAAACTAGATTCTTTTTTACTACCTCTATCTGGGCAAAAATTCAAAAGCTTAATAGTCCTCTTTGTTCATAAATCTATAGCAAATACTCTCACACCTTGCTGTGAGAGAGTAATTGCTAAAGGGTTTGTGGCAGACAATCCGGCAGCAGATACCAAAATTAGTCACACATATGTCATTTGTCTCAGCAGTTCTATCTTTATGAGCTGTCTCACAGGTTTGTTTGTTTATTTATTTATTTATTGGCGGAACCGGGGATTGAACTCAGGCCCTTCAGCTTGCCAGGGAAGCGCTTATTCCACTGAGCCATCTCCCCAGCCCCTCACAGGTTTATTTTTATGCATATAAAACACAGTATGTATGAAGTTATTTATTGTAGAATTACTTGCAGTAGTATAATACTAGAAACTAGGTAGGCATCATGAACAGCCTGGCTCCGTATCATGAGCTATGTAGATATAATACAGCTGTCGAAAAGGTAAGAAAGCTCTATGTGAATACAGGAAGATCAAAAGCAAAACGCAAAAGAATTTATATAGTATGTTAATATTTATGCAAACCCAAGATAAAGAACTCTGTAGATATATTTGCTTAGGTACACATAGGTAAACTGAAGAATACTTAAGAAATTAGTAATATTACCTCTTGGAATTAGGTAGAGCAAGAACTGGGCAGAGTTCGGCAAGGATGGAAGACTTTTAATAAATCCCACAATTATGTAAATATGTTTAACCATATGACCGTATTACTTATTTATTTATTTTTTTTTCAATGTTACTTTTCTTTCACTCTTTGTTTTTCTCTGCTTTGCAAGGCGACACGGTAAGGTCAGGGATAGCGACGAGGAGCACGAGCCGGATGAGGAAGACGCCATCGCTGCCGCCGTGGGCTGCCTGGGGCCTTTCAGTGGGCTCCTGGTGCCTGAGCTTCAGAAGTACCAGAAGCAGATTAAAGGTGAGCCGGAAGCTGTCGCTGTAGATCGTCGGGCTGTGTCAGTTCCTAGGTCACTACCGCATGTTGTACAGTTATGTGTTCCGGGATGGCACCGTCCCTTTTCCACATCTGAGCATTCGTCTTCCTTATTGATTTTCTTTCAAGTACCGCTCCCCCTTTTTTATTTTCTTCTCTAGAAAGAAGTGATTTTAGTAACAAATGAAATGAATTGATGAGATGTTCAGCTTTTACCTGAATCGCAGATATCAGCAGAGGTTAGAATAGTTGAAATCTCTTACTCTTTTAGCTGGGTCCCGGCCAGATTCACATATTGTACTAGAGAACCCTGGGCCTCTGCCCCTTTGTCCTGCACAGTCTGTGAAGACACTCTCACTGCAGCAATTTTTTTTTTTTCTCTTGGATGTAATCTCAATTTTATTTAAGGAACAAATGTACTAGTTGTTGATGTCACAGGAACAGAAACCATGTCAGATGTGACAGTCCTAGGAAGCAGCTGGGAAATATTTGTCAAATAAATAAAAACATTCACTTCTAGTGATATAGCAGTCTGAAATTTTAATACATTTATGAAATGTGTCAGTATTTTTAGCTTAAGGAAAATGCACTTTTAATGACTGTCTAAACTCTACAATCCTCAATTTATAAGTGTCTCTTATACATCCTCAGGCAGTTGTATGAATATCTGCACAATGATTTTAGACATCTGGTGTTGTGTTTTTCTAAGGGAATTTCAGAAATAGCATTGATTTCTATCTAGAGGCAGTTGAGCTTATGTTTATATAATAAACACAGAAGTAACAAAATCAGAGAACCAACAGAGCTCAGTGGAGACCCACAGTTAGGCTGATGGGAAAATATCGAAGCCAATCAAAACAAGCACTAGACAAATTCTAGGGCACATTTGTTTTGGTTTGAATGTCCCAGAGGTTCAGATATTGCACTGAGTTATGGTGTAATTAATCCCTCTTTGATCCTGTTACGCTCCCCTGAGCGGCTCTTTTTGTTTCTTCCCTGAGTGCAGAGGCCAACGAAGAGCAGAGCCTGAGGTCCAGCAACATTGCAGAGTTGAGTCCAGGAGCCATCAATTCCTGCCGAAGCGAGTACCACGCGGCATTCAACAGCATGATGATGGAGCGCATGAACACGGACATCAATGCCTTGAAGCGGCAGTACTCGCGAATTAAAAAGAAGCAGCAGCAGCAAGTCCATCAGGTGTACATCAGGGCAGGTAACGGGATCCTTTGTGTGAATCGGCTTTGTCCCAGTTTCAGCTTGTGCAGTGAAGGCCTCAGGATGACTGGGAGGGTGTTTGGCATCTCACTTTTAAATTTTATTTTGTTAGGCGTTGAAGAAGAAAAAACCTGTGGGTTCCTTATAGAGCCCAAGGACCGGTCAGCCAATGGTATTCGCCACCTCTTTCTTTTGTGTGCTTGTGGAGAAGGGTTGACAAATGATGTGGAGTGGTGTGAAGCCCTGTGATCCTTGGACTGGAGAAATTTCATGCATTTGATAGTAGAATTTAGTTGTCTGTGCACTAGGAAATTATGTCCTAGTCACTTAGGTAGTAATAGAACAGATCCTGTGAGCAGAGAAAATGTGGAAAAAAACATTAAAAAGCTTGTGCTCACTGATGAGTTAGCGGGATTCTGGGACTGTACCAAGAACACAATGGAAATGCTCTTTTCCAAGGATTCGCAAGCTTATTTTCCATTTTAATTTGAAAAATCTCTGAATAATCTGCTTTATTGTGTAATATATGCTGATTTGGGAGTGATTATTCTTACTCTAGTTAAGTATCCTAATGAAAATTACGCCTGTCCAGAATTAGCCATGATGCAAATTTGACATGTTTTTCAGTGGCTTGTGAGCAATGTGACTGATCTTTCATAAAAACTGAATTTAGCTTCACTTATTAGGAGGAATAGGTAACTCTTGAAGGTTCTTACCTTATCCTGAATCATCAGAAAAGCAGCCACAGATCAAATTCAATAAATACATGTTTGAAAATTGGTTCACATTGAACCAAAAACTTTTATAAAATTAGTATATAGTAATAATAATGTATTTTAAAAGGAAAACAGTCGCAAAAGAACCTAGAAGAGTGCAGCCCTTTAATTTTAAAGCACTGGCCCATGCATTTCTTTTCTTGCCCTTAAATCATCAGGACTGTTGTAAGATCCACAGTACTTTCCAGAAAAACAAAGCTTTTGGTGGTTTCCAGTTGTCACCTGGCTTTCAAAATCCATGGAGAACACAGAGATGGTTTTCCATGCTTGATACGAGGATTGGGCAGTGCGATTCCATGGTAGTCTCAGCATTCCCCATCTCTGCTGTCTCTCACGTCATCCTGTGTGGGTGCTGCATTCTTGTCTTACCTCCTAGAAGCTGACAGCTGATAACCCATTGGGTCATAGTGTTTGTCGTCTTATTTTTTAAAACTTTCTACATATATGAAAAGAATTTTCTGCATATATGATCTCTGAGTGGTGGCACAGGCCTGTAATCACGGCACTCTGGAGGTTGAGGTTGGACAATCGCCATGAGTTCAAGGCAAGCCTGGGGTACATAGTGAGTCCAAGCAAGCCCGAACTGCTTAGTGAGACCCTATCTCACAGACACATGAAAAGACCTCTTAGGTTGTTCTCTGTAAAAAGCAGAGGCTATCTATGAAAAAAAAAAATAGGAAGAATGGGCTCTCATTAATAATGAGGGGGTCAGAGTCCCTGTTCCCTTTTAGTGCCCTCCTGCAGTCTCTTCTTTGAAGAGAGAACTTGGTTCCCCTGACACTAGGGTTAAATTCAGTTCTGCTGTCCTCAGTCACATGGCTCTGCCTGTATCTGAGAATACATGGGAAGGATTATGGGGTTGGGGAGAGGATCTTTTGTGATTCAAGGTAGATGTGTTTCTCTGTAGTATGTTTCTCATAGTCTTCCAATTTTTTTTTTTTCAGACAAAGGGCCAGTGACCAGCATTCTTCCATCTCAGGTAAACAATTCTCCAGTTATAAACCACCTTCTTTTAGGAAAGAAGATAAAGATGACAAACAGAGCTGCCAAGAATGCGGTCATCCACATCCCTGGCCATGCAGGAGGCAAAGTATCTCCTGTCCACTATGAAGACCTTAAGACAAAGCTCAACTCTCCATGGCGAACTCACATTCGAGTTCACAAAAAGAACATGCCGAGGACCAAGACCCATCTGGGCTGTGGGGACACCGTAGGGCTGATAGAGGAGCAGAGTGAGGGCTGCAAGACCAACAGCGTGGGGGCAGGGGAGGACTTCTCCAGTTGTGCAGCAGCAGCTGAAAGAGAAGGCGGCAACTCTGAAGGCACCATAAGGACAATTGAAGGGCAATCCCCGGAGCCAGTGTTTGGAGATGCGGATGTTGACGTGTCTGCAGTCCAGGTGAAGTTAGAAGCCTTGGAACTGAACCAAAGGGATGCCCCTGCTGAGATGGGACCCCAGCTGCCCCCGCTGTGTCAACAGAATGTGCTAGAGCCATGTGGCACCCCTGGAGGAAATAAAGCTACCAGCAAACCTTCCCATGGCAGCCACTCAAAAACACCCATCTTCAGTCCTTTTCCTAGTGTCAAACCACTGCGCAAGTCAGCTACCGCCAGGAATTTGGGATTATATGGCCCTACAGAGAGAACCCCAACCGTGCACTTTCCTCAGATGAGCAGGAGCTTCAGCAAATCCAGCAGTGGGAACAGTGGCACTAAGAGACGATGACGTCTCCCAGTGACCTTGTGTCTGGACTCAGCCTGGCACGACACCCTAGGCATTCCAGCTACGCCCTTCCAGCTTTGTTTGTCTAATGAAGACGGGTAGAAATTCGGAGAGGAGCCACAGCAGCTGCTGAAACAGGAACTGACAGTTCTGTAGTGGGAGCTAGAAGAGGGATGTTTTCACGTCCACTTGATCAAATGGATTCTTGGATTATTTTTTTCCAGGAAAAATAAATATTGTGGTTTTCAAGTGTGAAGTTTTCCCAATTTTCCTTGTGAAATATTTAGAAAAGATTGTATGTAGACTGTCAGGTGCTCTTTGTCCTGTGCTGAGCGCCTTTCAGGATCCCTGTAACACCACCTCCCGAGCCTTCTAGTTCTCTGGTGTTACTCCAGCATGCACACACCAGCTTGCTAGAACAGAAACTGTCAAAAGAAAGCAAGTTTCTTAGATGCAAAATACTCCTGCTTTTTCCCTTCCTGCTCTGTTGGGGTAGGGGGTGGGGATTGGTTGTGTGTATGAAGTTTCCCTCCGTACCTATCGCCAAATTGATTTTTATTCTTATGCTAAAATGTAGGTGACAAAATCAATATGGCTTTTTAAAAACTTTCTATTTCTTTCTTTTTTTTTTTTTTTTTAAACTTTCTATTTCTACCTGCAAAATGAAGAAAAACTTTCAACTGTTGAAATTTAGGTGGATAACCAAATTGAAGATCATATGCAGAGAGCATAAATGGGATATGCATTTAATATTGGCCCCGGTCTGCTCACTAATTCTGCTAAGCTTTTCCCGAGGTTCACTTTCTCCTCTCGAGGAAAGCACTGGTCCCCGGTGGTACAGATGACTGATAGGCTCTGTGTGGGGATTGTCCTGTGTCCTCCGCCATGCCGCTTCTTTACCTACCAGCTCTCTAGGGCAGACACACATGGCCTCTGCCCGAAAGCCAGAACAAAGCACTGCGACTCTGTTACTTGAATTTTGTGTGTGGTTTTTTTTGATTGGATTTCTTTGTTACTTGAACACTGCCTTTCTCTGAAGAAGGCCCTGTGCTTTCTAGCTCTCTCTCACCCACTCTGCTCCTGTCCTGGTCCCAGTGGGTCAGAGACAGCGCCTCGTGTCTCCACTATGCAGTTGGGAACTCTGAGCCACATAGGTAAAGTAGCCCTTGAGTTCCTCAAGGCAAATCCTCCCGTTTTCCGTGCAACTTAGCCACATTTCCTCCAGTGCTACGGGCGGGTTTGTTGCTCTTTGTGCGTGGATGCAGTGGCCTCAGAGTTCATATGGATCAAGACTGGGAAGCCATAGTCCATGCCCCCAGCCCTCCTTGACCTTCACAGGACCTTGCTCCATAGGCTACACAGTCCTACCACAGCATTTCACAAAGCCAGCTCTGATGTCCTTGTCCCGGAAAGGTAGCTCATTTTAAAATTGCTTCATGCACTTGTCACTTGGCTGAGTGAAAGGCTCCCTCTTCCATCCATTTCTTCCCACCATTGTTGGAGTAGATTCCCATCTTCGTCTGTGGAAGACCTTGGCAATGCTTGCAGGAACACTGTCCGTGCAGTCAGTACCAGTTTGAGCTAATTGATGTGTTAAATTCAAAGCCAAAGCTATAATCTTAGAAAGGACTTCTACTATGAGGGCCAGCTGTTTTTTAAATAATAAAACATGATTGTATGAGCTTTGTTTTTGAACATAAAACAGAAGAATGGCATAAACATCGAGAAAAGCCATTTAATCCTCTTGGTTGTATTTTTATCCCCCAAGGAACAGAAGATGGGAAGTATGATTTGTCAGTCCTTCCTTGCAGTTTTGGCCTTGGGTTCTGCACTCTCTGAAGTTAGTGTGCAGCTTCTCAATGAGCAGCAGCACCCACAGCCTGCTTTGGGGGAAGGGTGTGCGAGGGAGAGGCGCGTTCTTTTCATGCCTCCCCGACAGGATGAGACCTATGGCATTTTCCAAAGCTAAGCAAATGATAGAATTTCCTTCCGTCTGCTAACCTTTAAGAATGAATCCACCTCATCATCGCACTCCATCCCATCCTGAGTAAGTCAGACCCATTGCGTTCCCCTTGGGGATTGTCTGGCTCCAATAGTTTTGCTCTTTCCTCTAGGGGGGAAGAGCTCCCCTGGCTCCCTGCAGGTCTGAGTTGGGGAGGTGGGTAGTAGATGGAGCTGTCTGCCAGCTGTCCTAGTGCTGGCGCTGCATTCTGCACCCTGTCTGCATTTCTTTGCGCCTGTTTCCCAGGATAGGTCTTCCTGAGAAAGGGATGGAGGAGATGGCCTGTGATTTGGAACCAGTAAGTACTGGTTGAATGGTTGAAAAAGATAATAGTCCTTTGAAAACAAAAATGACTTTGTTGCAATTTTAAAACTTCAGCTAATTCCTGTTAAAACAGTCTGTACCAATAAAGCATGCATTGTACCAAGTAATCAGTGTGAATCCATCAAATTCTCAGCCTTGCTTACTTTACAAAATCAGTGTGAGTAGCATAGACCACACAGCATGCACGAAGACCAGTTTGGACTTGCTATCTTCCCTGTGTCCTGCACACTGTATGCAAACACCAGAAGTACTTAACAAGTAGCATCTTATTTCTAGCTATGTTTGTACTTTCTGCACTTTTTTTGAGAGTCAACTCTGCACCTCAGTCCTCTTTTAAAAGCCTCTAGATAATCTAAGCCTAGTTTGTAATGTTGACCAATGAACTGTAACGGTTTGAAACACTGTATTCCCTTTTTTTTTTTTTTTTTGGTGTGTGTGTGTGTGTGTGTCGTTTCGAAAAATTGTACTGATTACAGAGATATATACATAAAGATTCTCATTGTTGTGGTGGTTGTGCTGTTTTATATCCAAGCACATGCATGAAACACTTGTGGCAGTCCCCTCTTCCTTTTCTTGTCACTCCCTCCCTCCCTCCCTCCCTCCCTCCCCTAGTCCCACCTGATCACTAGAACAAAGAAACTGACCTAGTAAGCTCTATCTCCCCCAACCTGATCTCTGGATTGCTGGATAGCTTACATCCTGCCCAGACTGGGGTGGAATAGCTGGTTTCTGAATGTAAGCAGAGTATGTGTATATATTAACTAACTTTTAGATAAGGCATGATGGCACACACCTGTAATATCCTAACACTCAGGAGGCTGAGGCAGGAGGATCCTTGTGAGTTTGAGGCCAGCCTGGGTTACAAGTGAGCTCAAGGCCAGCCTGAACTGCATAGCAAGACCTTGTCTGGAGAAGACCCAAACAAACAATAAAGCCCCCTAACTTATTAGACTTAAATTTCCTTTGTTTTGATAAAATAGAACAAGAGTAAAATTTAGCTTCATTAATGGAATTATGAACAAGTGTACTGTACCATCTTCCCTCATAAAGCCTGCATACAGCTTCTGAACTACTTTGTATGCTGTCTACAGAAGACAGATGAGATAGGCTTTAAAACATTTTTCCTAATTATCAAAGTAACATGGTGTACAACATTTGGAAAACAACTCACTGCGCATGTCTTTTCAATGTTCTTTTGTTTGCGCCTCGGAACATGCATACATGCATGCATATGTGCATACATTTGTTTTTTTAAAGAGTCAGAATAACTTTATTCCCTTTGGAGGGTGGCCAGGTGAAGTTAGAACTTCTGGAACTGCCTCTTGGTGCCGGCGGCCTTGGTGACCTTAAGCACGTTGAAGCGTACTGTCTTGCTCAGGGGCCTGCCCTCATTCACTGTGGCGATGTTGCCCATCTGGATGTCCCTGAAGCAGGGCGACAGGTGCACCGACATGTTCTTCTGGCGCTTCTCAAAGTGATTGTATTTGCGGATGTAGTGGAGATAGTCTTGGCGATGGCAATGGTCCTCTGCATCTTCATCTTGGTCACCACGCCAGCCAGGATCCGCCCCCGGGTGGAGACGTTACCAGTAAAGGGGCATTTCTGATCAATATAGGTGCCCTCGATGGCCTCCTTGGGGTCTTGAAGCCCAGGCCAATGTTCTTGTACCAAGGGAGCTTCTCTTTGCCAGTTTCTCCCAGGAGGACCCTCTTCTTGTTTTGGAAGATGCTTCTGGTAGGTGCCCTTTGTCTGAATATCTGCCATCTTCCCCGTCGGCTGGGTTGCATACATTTTTTTTATCTCCAGAATGGTATGGGTGCACTAATTTAAGCTGTCTTTCTAGTAAGTGCTCTGCTACAGCACCATTTTGGAGATATTCTATCCTGCATTCCTACCAGAATCACATAACTTGTACCTTGTTAAAGTGGTTTCTTGATTGCTGACAGTAGTGGCGAATGCATCCTAATAATTACATCCTTGCACAGATTTAATTGTTTTCTTAGGGTATGTTCAGAGAAGGGCAACTGCAGGGTCAAAAATGTTAATTTTAAGGAAACACCTAATGGTTCAAATTACCATACTTAAGGGCTGGAATTATAAAACAAGTAGAGAATGTGAATGTCTTCACATCTGGAAGAGACAGCATTTTATTCTTTTTTTCTTTCTAGGTCCTTCAGTGTTGAAGTGTTGAGAGAGTTAGAGATAATGCTCATATCTCCTACTTGACTTTTAAGTGAATTCTTAAGATGTGAGCTGAGTTTTCTAGAATATACTTTTCATTAGGTCAAGGAAATGACCTTTTATTCTTTCCTAAGAAGTTCATCAACAGGTGAATATTATCAAAGGAGCTCTAATTTCAACTGTAAGAAGATAGTAATGCCTGAAACTTGCTATCTTGAACTCAAGAAAATGGGCAATACTAGGTTCCATCAAAGAATACTAGATCTTTTAGAATTGGAAACAATAGCAACAAAAATTTCAAGTGCAAAGTGTTCATTACGGTACTAAATTTACTAGTGGAAACTTGGAGACAGTGTAAAACAGAATAGTGGACATGGTCAAGTGAATTATGGTTTATTCGCAAAATAGTAGCACAATGACCGTTTGGGCCACTGAAATGGAACTTATTTATTAATACCAGGAATTTGATTAAAGCCAGTAAAATCTAGAGCCATAGAGCTGCTGGGTGGCAGCTGTGGTTGGCAGGATACAGTGCCACACATGTGGTTCTTTCACACAGGCAGCCTGTTGTTTTCTGCTGGGGACCACATGGGGACTGATAGATCGTAGGTGCTGAATCTATGCAGCTTACTTCTGGTCATCTTCTGATGCCGAGTATCTTAGCTTTGCTGCTGTTGCCAAATATCATAGACTGAGCAGTTAAATGAAGGACATTTTTTTTCTCACATCCCTAGAGCTTGGAAAATTCAAGATCAAGTTGTTGACAGGTTAGCTGTCTGGTGAGGATGCTCCCTCTTCCTGGCTTGCATGAGGAGAGGAAGCTCACATTTCTTGTAAAAATGAACAATTAGGCCATCCCTTCAGTCCTTCTATCATCCTCATTTTCTGCAGGATAAAAGCTAAACTCAGCATGATCAGTCCCAAGGATAAGTTCCCAGCTTATTTCTCCATTGTATCCGTCATTGCATCCTGTGAGCAATTATCATTGGAACTATGGCATCAAACAGTTGCTGAGTTGCTCTGTGCTGGGCACGGCATAGCTCCTTCATATATGCTGTCGTGCACATTGCCCCAGAGCACTGTGTCACTGCATGAGAACTGATGAAAGAGGCGAGCACTTAGGTCCCTGGCCACTGTCACTTGGCTGGTAAAAGCTGAAGCTGGATGTGTCTGACATCAGAGCTTGAGCTGTTACCTTACAACCTGGTGTGTTAGTTTGGCAAAAAGACAACAAATGCCTTAAGGAATTGACTTAAAAAGTGAGAAATTTTGGCTCATTACTTAAAAGATTCTAGTCTATAACTGACTGGATGTATTTGGGGCCTGTAGTGAAGCAGCACATCATGGCAAGGATTGTGCGATACAGCCGGGATGCCCACCTCATGGCCAGAAATTGTAACAGAGCAAGCAAGGGAAAGACTGATTGCTCTAGTGTATGTACCCAGTGATCCAAGATCTCCCACCAGGCCCCATTACTTAAATGCTCCCCCTTTTCCCAATACCATCACACCCTTTAACATATAAGATTTGGGGGTCATTTACTATCCAAACTATTGCACTGGGCATAAGTGAGTTATAGATGGAAGTTCTCGGAACTCCCTGTTCCCCCAACATCTTGTACCTCTTGTGTATTCAGAAGTCTTTGTGCAGAGCGACTCATTACTTAAGGCTGCTGAGCAGCCACCTATTTGTTCAGTCTTACTATAACATTAAGATTAAATTGAACCCATGACATTGGTCTTGTGACTTGGAGCAAATTAACACTTGAAACCTTCATATTACACATCTGTCCAGTGAGCATCTCCTGTGTCTTGTTGGCACTGGATAGCTTTGTTGCTTAGAATTTGCTACCTTTCTTTGCTAAGAGTGATCTGATTTACTTGGGGATCCAGTTCTTCACCTCTGTTTGTGGACTTCTGGTGAGATTGATGGTCTAGATTGTGGCTTGAGCTCAACTACTCTGTGCTCTCTCTCCTAGTCATTGTGACGCTCTCAGACAGTATATAGATAAAGAAACCCAGTTCTTAGGCCCTTGTTTTGAACTCTCAGAGAAACAGACTCATTGGAATAGAACTGGTAAGGTGAAGGCCCCCTGTCTTAGTTACTTTTCTTGTTGCCAGGACAAAATACCCAGCACTCAAAGCTAAAGGTGGAAAGATCTGTTTAGCTTACAGTTTGCAGAGGTTTCAGTCCATAATCTGCTGACTGTGAGGCAGAGTGGCACCTGGCAGTGGAGCAACCAAGCATTGCAGTGAAAGACGGCAAAAGCAGCAAGGGAAGAGCACGAGATCCTGTCCCTCCTATTGTATGCAGGCTAGGGTGAATGTAGCGCTCACCCTCTTAATCCTAGCCAGAACTGTGCCAAACCAGTCAGTGGACTGATTTACTGATCACACATCCTTAAGTCCAGCATCACACATTCTAGGTTCAGCCACCTCTGGAAAAGCCCTATGATTGCATGAGGGGGACATATAGGCACAAACCCTATCACCCCCCAAATTGCTGCTGGCAGCCATCCTATAACCATGAGGGAAGAGCTGCTTGGAAGAGGGTCAGCACTGGACTTCTACATCTGGGAGACAGAATCCAGGCTCTCTTCATGTCACACGAACCCTGGTTCAGGTTACAACCGGAAGCTAATTCATCTCATTACCATATACTATAGCAGCTAACATCGCAGTTTTTTATTTTAGCCAAGTTTGGTCAGATTTTTCTATCATTAATATAGAACAATCCTTAATTAGAGCAAGTGTTATGAAGATTACAGATCAAAAGGCAAAATAGTACACATATCATTAACAAAAAGACAATGCTGTTTTTACTTTATAGTAAAACTTTTTCTTTTAAAAATGTATTTGGTATAGGGTCTTGCTACGTAGCTCAGACTTGTAATGATCCTTCTTTCTCAGCCTCCCCAGTGCTTGGATTACAGGTGTGCATCACCATGCCTGATTTCGGTGGCCGGCATGATGCACCCTGGGGTCTGAGACCAGCATGGCATGCAGTACCGGATATCATACCCAGGTCCTTGCATGCGTGTAGACTGCCAAGCTATCTCCCTGGCCCAAGGAGGGCTCTTTTATGATGGCCTTTGAGTCGTCTTTGGTCTGGCATCTCCTTGTCCCAGAAGAAGTGATAATTTTGAGTCTAAATGGTTTGGCCTTATTTTATTTTATTTTTTGTGTATGTGTGGCATGTTTTCTTTGCAGTGTAATTTTAAATTTGTTTTACTAATATGTTCAAACTTTTTTTATTAGTACATATTTGTCATGCACAATGATCACATTGT